AACAAGCAGGACTCTCAATGTACCTTACGCTAGTTAACTCTCTGAAAGGAGATGATCTGCTGTCCTGAGCCCTGCTCTTATAAACTCTTACGCCAAGTATTTGTGAATCAGTTTTCTATGAGAATATGTGAAAGTGTGTGAAAGTGTCACTATTAATAATCACTAGAATTAATTCTGTTCAGAACATCTTTGTTCCTGCAGACAGTAAACTTGGGAGTCACATACAAGAGAATGTGTCCCACAGGCCCTATTCCTCTGACACATAATAAAATAAAATGTTTTTTTCAATTTGTGATTCATGGTGCTAGGCGCTGAAAAAAAAAGGAAAGAAAAGAAGAAAACATATATTTCAGGTATTTTATGAAGAAGACAAAGTGTAAGAGCCCTGCCCAGTATCACAAAAGCTGTTTTGTTTTGTTTATTTTTTTCATTTGTTTCCTTTTGATTGGTAAGCCATGTAAAAATGCAAGTCTTCAGAGAGGAGGAGGATGGCTCTCGCTCAAAGTCTGGCCCTTACAGAGTTGTTAGAGGAGATGAACAAGATTTTCAATCTCTTGAATTTCCAGGACAGATCTGGAAATTTAACCTGTATATCCTACACAAATGAAGCACCTGAGAAACATCATTGGTAGGTAATGAAAAGGAGATGCTCTCTTCTGCTGTCCTTTCCTTGCCTCTTTCCAAGCCAGCAAGCGTTTCTCTGAGAAAAACAAGCATACGCTCATTCCTAGGAGCAATTATTTCCAAGGACAGAGGCTCCCCCTGGAAAACCTGTATCCAGCACCTGTGTACTGAGGCATTTCCACTACCACTGTGTTTGTGCTTTGTATTTTGAAAGCTCTAGAAGCTGTGTGTTTTTTATTTCAAGGTGCCTTTCACTTTCACTGCAGTACTCACAAGGGCCAGATGCTCAGATTCAAGCCATGCAGGGTTTTATTTGTGAGTATGAGCACTATCAGATCTGGCTGGGAACAAGACTAGCAGTCTGATCTCTCTAATTCAACTCAAAAATTCATTTTCCTATCACAAAGCAGAAAAATGCAGTATTAGGAAACGCTAACAAGGAGCTGATTTGTTGTTAGAAAATAACACCAAAAACACAGCTTTAATTCATAATAAGGAAATTAGTAGTAAAGGCAGGTCTTACGTAAAGAATATTTGCCTCTTTGTTGGTTACTACAGGAACATAATGAATGAATAAAAGACATTGAAGCCACTTTAGCCTGGTGTGTAGCTCATTATTACAGAATTGTTGGGTTTTTGTTAGATGAACAGAATTCAATCCCAGATAAATGGTGTATTTTATTGACTGGATTATGTTTATGATAATTTTAAAAGGGCAATCTGTCAGAGCTTTATTTTTCTTTGATTTTTGCATTACCAAGAATCTAAAGCTATACTGTTAATAGACAAGGTATATCCTAGTTTGTAAGCTAGAAGTAAACAAAAAAGTCATCAAATATACCAGCCTTTGAAGTACACACTGCATAATGAATGCATTTGAAATGAAACCCATCACTGATTCAGACACAGAGATGATTACATCCCTAATTGTCCCAAGCCTTACAAAATACACATAAGAATCACATGTAATTGGTGTAAATTAAACTCCCTGAACTGCCCGGAGCCTAAACAGAGAAAATGGAGAATGAGACCAAAGACCTACAAACAGAATGCTGCATTTATATTGTATGCTTCAGTTTTAATTTCAGAACTTATTAAAGTTTTCTGCTGGCAGAGGCATGTTTTCATCCAAGCCCTAAGCACACAACACTACTTAAGACCGGCTTTAGAAATTTGGTGGTCCTTAAATTCAGAATGAACTGCACTAGAGAGAAATACACTATTTTGCTATGATGTAGTTTAATAAAAGAAAAAATACGAAAGCATTTTTCAGTAACTGTTTCTCCTATTCTAGTTTCAGATCTACCTAAAGATTGAAAAAAGTATTTTCCCCATTATTTTTTATTACATACAACTGGATGTAATTAGCTGGATAAACAATTAGCACACAAATCTGATGAAATGGTGTCCAGACACTGGGGGTTCTGTGGAGATGGGAAAAAGAAATAGGATACAGGGAAGCAGCTCCTAAGGATGTTGCAGCTCACTACAAGCATCTGCCAGAGTAACATTTGTTTATAATTCACACCATTCTGATGTAATGACAGTGCTGGAAACTTCTTACACTCAGATCACCCAACAGCTGCCACTAGAAACACAAAAGCTTGTCATGCAATTGCTGATGCATTCTTTCAGCAACCAGTAATTCAGTGTATGTTCACTGTATTATTTCCTCTTCCCAGGAGATGCAACAACACTTCCTATGTCTACACAGATCTACCCCAGTTTATTGTGGATAATGATATTTCACTTTACTACATTTAAGACAGAAAAAAAGACCCACTAAGACTGTAATTAAATTATGATAGCTTTGTGATCTAATTGATTTTCAGCCAATCCTAACCTATCTTTCCTTTCCCAATTATTTTCTGGAAAATCACAATGAAAATTGGGATACTCTTCAGAGGCCATTCACTGATACGGTAGTTTCAGAGATGTTCTAAATTGGATATAGAGTGTTCATCCTGAAAGAAGAAAGCCTCACCTTGGCTGAAAGACAGAACAGCTTGGAGGTAGTTTTTAGAGCAGCTGAAGTCCAACTGAGTTGATTTGCATGTTTAATTGCATTTCTTCACGTAAGAATTCCACGAGACTGAATAACACAATTGATTTGTTTTGGAAAATTTGAACCTCTAGACAAAGTATTAAGCTGTATGCTCTGTACCAGTGTAGTAAGATTAGTGTACGTTGTCACTCTCTGCATTAAATGGGCACAGATGTCCATTACCAGGTAGACAATGATTTCTGTTCTCAGCATCAGGGCCTTGATTAACAGAGCACACACTGTAATTTTAAAAAGACTCAGAGAAGAGTCAAGAGATTTCTATACTGGAACTTGATTAAGTATTATGTCATTTTTATGGATTCCAAACACTATTTAGAGATCAGAGATGAGAAGACCAGTTTCAGTTGGAAAGTAATAAGATTGTTTTATGTCATTATCTTTTGTTAGCCATTAAAGTTTATTAAAGATGCCATAAGCTGCATTATTCCTCCTCTACTTGCAATTTATAGTGGCTGCACTGCCAGAATACAATTTCTCCTATAAATGGAGAAAGCCCATGCAGAAATAAGTACTAATCCTGCTTGTTGTTGAATACATCTCTCAACATTACTATATAGGCAACATCTGATATCACAGTTCCAAAAATTAGCTTAGGTTCTGGATGACTTAAGAAACTCTTAATATTTCTGCCAATGAATCTATGGACAATGCAGCTTCAATTTCCACAATCGACGTAACACTGCGTGTAATGCAAGACCAAAGCTCCAAAACCTGAGTATTGATATTTGTGTGCCTTGTTAGGGTTCATATAGATAAGGCTTTTTCCCACTATCGCATCCTGCGGGATTCTCCAGACACAAATCAACCAAACCAGAATAAAATCCATGAGTCTTTCTTCCTCCCCTTCAAAAGATGGCCTAGGTCACAAATGAATCTTTTTCGTAGAAGTTAGTACAAAGTACTCAGAACATAGCAGAAGTCTTTCAATCCCTCAGGTCCTTAGAAAGGAAAAACATACATTTCTGGTTTACTGGCTTGTTAGATTAATGGGAGTTCTTTTAAATATGCATCAAGTTTCTTTCCCTTTTTTTTTTTTTTTCTTTTTCATACCCCATTCTTAAATATCCCAACTCCTGCACTAAATGTTTGAGATTGCATATCTTAACTCTGCTTAAATTTATTTCTGCCTCACAACATAGTTTTGATCTATATTTTGCTTTTGCCATCTAGATGAAGACAAACTTTGTTACTTTCAGCCCCTAGGAGCTAACAGATAGATAAATCTTTACCAGGTAATTTCAGTCAGCTAACAGTCTGATATGGATCTGGTGTTTCTTTGGTGCATCTTATTTACTCACATCGTATCTCCAACCCCAGATCAATACCAGATTCTCCATATGGAGCTTTCTGAACTCAGCTCAGACTCTCCCTAGACTTTACTTCCTCACACAGATATTGAAATCATGGCTTTATCAAGTCCTGTTTATTGCCTCTAATATTTGTCACCAGCAAGACTTTTACATGCAAAGACCACTATTCTTGAAGAGTGCCCCTTTTACCCTTCTCACTTTTTCAGTAAGCTCTCCGTGCACCTGGGATCCCAATCACAGATATTAGCTATTAAGAAATACAGAAGGATTTCCCCATTGTTATAAAGCTGTTGCCTCAGCATATGTATACAGACTGTCAGGTGGGAAAAGTAATTTATTTGAGCCAGTAATGGCAGAGATATAAGTTTCAGAGTCTAGAGGAACAATTTTAGCTAGTTTTGACACTAGCTTTTTCCTGCTATTTTGCAACTTGCTAGTTGCAGCAGAAAATGAGGTAGATAAAAGGATGTATGGTGTAAAAATTATTTAAGCAAGTTTTACAACTTGGTTTGTCACTCTTATAAAGACAGTAATTCTCTGCTTTCATTAGGTAGCAGAAAACAAACAAACAACAACAAAAAAAGGTGATTTCACTTGTGATGCTGAAATTTACTTCAACCCCACTAATTCAATTCTAAAGCTTTTCTCTTCAGAAGGTGAGAGTATATCATTATAAACTGATGTGAAACCGTTATTCTTCTAAAACTTCAAGACAAGAGAAGATTTACAGTGCTGTTATATATGCATAGGTACAAATAACAATGATTTTATAGTAACAGCTGAACACTACATATAAAACAAACATTCAGTGAAACAAAGAAAAAAGATTAATTTTACTAAAAGAAAGAAGCAGCAGACCTAAAGAATTGGTTCTTGGCTGAGGCTAACGCCACCAATAATCATCCATTAATAGATAATAGGAATCATTTGTTGATTGATCAGTCTATTTAGGAAGTTATAGGAAGCACCTGCTACTGTTTTCTGCCTTGTGAAGCCAGGAGCAAAGCTCTAGAGGAACTGCTGCTCCTAGGACCCCAGCACAAGAACTTGAGGTCTGCTGAAGTTTAGGTGAAGTTCTATTAGGTGTCTTTTCTTAGTGGAAGCGTAAAATGAGAAAAGGAGAGAGACAACTGTGTTCTGGTTAAGCGTGATTCTTGCTGGAGTATTCAGCTCTCAGACCTTTCAGTCACAAGTAGCAAAGCTGAGGATTGCAGAAATGCACCTTAAAACCATGCAGACAAGTTGCAGTTAAAAACGCAGGTGAGCAGAATTAGAAAGATGCTTAATATTTCAGGTATATGACAAGCTATTACAGCTTTCTGAATTTTTGTCTTTGAAACTTGATGTTGTGTATCTTTTCTGGGCACCTCTGCTCAGCTGCATAGCCATTGCACAACAAAACTTTATTGATGCTTGTCTGTTTTTGTTGCAGGCTCACTGGAAGATGGATACTACACAGGGAGAAACGCTGAAAAAATCCTTTTGGTGAGTACAGTGATATGATTAATTATCAGAAGTCATATAGACAGATATGTTGAGACAAATATGTGAGGAAGGAGAGACATGGAGCACAGATGATGTTATTTTAATTAAAACTGATTTACTTAAAGGAACTACAGCTTATCAAAAAGAAGTTTGTTACCCTTGGCCACTTTCTAAAGTGTGTTGAGAAATACAGTGGAGGAAGAAAGAGGTGGTTTTGGTTGTTTTTTGTTGTTGTTTGTTGTTGTTTGTTTGTCTGTCTTTTAAAGGTAATGTAACTCTTATGAGAGTAAGAGTAAGCTCCTTTGTGTCTGTCATAGTTTCTGTGGAGCTGAGTAGGAGACATTACTTTTGGAGTGACCTCTGCATTGCAAGGAAATGAGTCTACCTTCCCTTACTCAATATGTGCCATATTGGAAAAGGCAGCAATGATAGCAGCTTCAAAATAAGAGCCTATTATTACAACTTTGAGGAAGACCCACTGTTAAGTTCTTCACATAGATTTCATATGAATTTCATTATCTCAGAAGTCATCTTTTTCTTACTGTTTGCCTGGAATTCATTCTAGCTCAAAAATGAAACTACTTAATTTGGATACCCTTTCTCACATTTTTTCTGTGCGTAAAGTGTGGACTTTGCTAATCATTGAGATTCACAAACTGAGTGCCATTGATAATATATGTGAAGAACGCTCCTGTGTGATTTAACTTTTTGGAGCAAGCCACAGTACAAATGGCAAAGAAAATATTTTCTAATATGTAATGAAGTAGTGGGAAGTTCAGAATTTCCTAAATTAACTCTGTTGCACACAATTCCGAGAAAGATTTTCAGTCACAGGTAATAGTCTAATTTAGTCAATTTTTCAGATTTCTACGTTTATCACCTTTCAGAAGGGTGATAGTATCAAAAGCAAGAAGCACTTCATCTTCCAGTTTATGTAACATAGAATTTTCTTACTTTCCATTGCCTATCTTGGCCCTTAAAGGAGAATTTTCTTCCTTAGTTTTTAGTTCAAAAATGAGGAGGGGAAAAAAAAAAAGAGAATTAAGTGTTAATTCCATAAATTCTTTTATGTAAGACTGCTGCTAACTTAAATACATTGAACTAGACAAATATCCAGTCAAATCAACATAGTGAGGCTGAGAGAAATTCTGGATGGCAGCATATCTTTCTCAGAAAAATGTTTGAACACATTTAAAAAACATAAACAGCCAAAAAGTACTTTTTTGGTAGATACCTAAAATCAGAACTGCTGCTTGTGATGGATATAAATACACAACGAAGATAATATGAATCACAGCAAAGGTAGAACTATTGATGAATTAAGTTATTGAGCTTTGAGACTTGTAATCTGGAGTGATGTTCATTGAATCATAGAATATCTGAAGCTAAATTCTACAGGGATCATGAAGTCCAATTCTTGGCTCCACACAGCACAGAGTAGAACAATCCCTCACACAGCTGGCAGTGCTGGGCCTGATGCACTCTGGGTTGTGGTTGGCCCTTTTGGCTGTCAGGGCATGCTGCTGGCTCAGGTTCAACTTGCTGCCAGCTTTAACTCTGATCTCTTTCTGCTGCACTGTTCTCCAGCCTCTCATCCCCCAGTCTGTGCATATAGCCAGGGTTGCTCCATTGCAGGTGCAGAATCTGGCACTTTGTCTTTTAGAGAAAAGAAAGCCCAGGTCTCTAATTTGTCATGATCTCTCTATAGTCTCTCTTCAACAATTCCTCCTAAACATTGCAAACATAGTATGCACATGAATCCTATCTGCAGACAATTTAGAAAAACATTGAAGAGATCTGGCTCAAAAATGGAGCCCCAGGAAATCCTCATAGCAACTGGCACAGTGTAACACCACTTACTATTGTCTTTTGAGTCTGACTGGTCAGTCAATTGTTCAGCCATGCTGTTACGTACTTGTCTAGCTGCACAATGAATATTTTGTCCAGCAGGATACTCAAAGATGTTGTAAATATTGTCCTCACTACGCATAGAGTGTAATTTAGGCCTCACGTCAGCACATTCAAGCATCCCAAGAAGGGGGGAGAACAGTGTCTAATCATAATTTGAAATATTTTTAGTATCTGCCATTACTTTGGCTGATGAAGTCTAAAAATATACTTCCAGTACATCCTGTAATTACATGCAAACATTTTAATAATGGAACCAGAGTATATTTTCAGGATATTTCTCACTCCCTCTGTCTCATTTGTCTCTCTCTAGGGGCTATTATGCTTAGGGTTCCTCTGTACTCTCCCTATAATGGATCTACAATTTGTTGTTTTATTCAGAATTATGCAAGAAATTAAGTCAAATATTATTTCTGGTGCACATTTCATTCTGCAAGCTACACATACTCAATAATTCATTCACTGTTAAAGCTTGCAGGACTTTCATGAACAGGGAGGAATAAAACAGCACTTGGACACTTGATAAGTGTGCCCCAAGGGTGCTGTCTTAAACACCGAAATATAGCAAAGAACAGGTACCTTTCAGGTTTCAAGACACCTGAAAAAGGCAGCTGAGCTGCAAGAAAAGCAGAGGGAAGTTGATCATAAAATGTTTAGTTGTATGATGACAGAGGCATTTATTTCAGATATGCCCATTCATTATATGTTAGTGCCTGCAGTTCAAATGCCTTATTCAATTTGAAGTCAAGAAAATCTTGTAGGCAGAATAGATAATCTCAGGGCTAGTTCCAAACTTCATAAAGTTAATGAAATCTTTCCACAAATTTCCTTCAGTTAATGTTTGATAAGCATGGGTCATATTCACATAATCACAGTAAGTGACAAGCAACAATTGCTTGTATTTCTTGGATAAAAATAAAGTAGTAGATTTGCACTACTTACCATGATTTGCATTGTGGCTTAATGGTAATTACAAACCACATCTCTCAAGCTCTTTTTCTAGTTAAATGAGTTAGCATCCATTAAAGGTAACTGTGAATTCAGAGCCCATTTCCGCTGCCAATTGCTAATTTATATGCATTTTTCTAAGCTTTTTCCTTTGCTGTTAAGAATTTTCTGCCTTACAGGCTTTCAAAAACAACTTCTTAAATGAAGGGAATATTTGTTATCCTTCTTTTCAACCTTCACTGTTGTTTTATGTGCTGATATAGAAGGGCTCAGCTATCTTCACAGTTGAGCTTGCTGTCCTGATCTGTGTAGCAGAGAATTGTTAAAATAGGGCACCTTGCTTCATAGAAAATGCCTCAGCTAGCTTGAATACCCTTAACCCAACTTGGTATGCCTAAAGAAATTCTGTATTAGAGCAGTACCTGTAGAACTGTTTTATCATATATAATTATAAACCAAACTGACCCTTAGCTTCTAATTAAGCATTAATTAGGTAAAATATACAGTGATTGTAAAACAGTGTTTTGTAACAAATCTAACTTTGCAGTTCCTATGCTCAGATAGTCAATTAGTTTGAGTATCTCTGGTTCAAGCTGTTGAGTTCATGTTTCTCCTAGCAACAGTATCAATATATAAAAAGTTTGAGCTCTGTGCAGGTAGACAGCAAACCACTTCATCCTGATTATTTTGATGAGTGCTAGAAACAACACAGTATTCTTTACAGTGATCTAGAAGCATTTCCTTGTTTTTTGTTTTTTTTTTTTTTTGTTTTTTGTTTTTTGTTAATAGCAAAAAGGAGCACAAGCAGAAGAAGAAAATCACGTTAAAAATTTGAAAGCTGTGTATTCCAGGAATATAACTTTTGTTTAAAAAAAAAAAAAAAATTCCCATAATGAGAGATGATGTCATCACCCTGGAATTAAATGTAGCACAGAGGTTTTAAAATATTTGTTTTAAAATAATTTGTTTCACCTTCTACAGGGAAAGTTCCAAAATATGATTTAATTCAGGGGCAGCCCTTGAGAATTATCAGAGCCATCAGATCCATTTCATCTCTGTTTTTATTGAGGAAAAATATTTTGGTCCATGACTTCCTTAAACAGTCCTATCTACTAGGTGTAGTAGATACACCAGTAGTCGTAGTTTCTGACAAACAGTCCTTACAATCACTCCATTTTAATGACTTAATTCAGCAAAGTTTACCTGATTTTAAGATTTAAACAGCAGTCTTAACATTCAGTCAGTAGTCTTTTCACATCTATGTAGGTAACTCCGAAAGTAATGCCTCATTTATTTCCAAGGAAACTACAACAGATAGAATGAGCATAATGATAGTACTTGATAGAGCAAATTCTCAGCTACAAAACACTCTTTCAACACAGTCACCACTATCAGCTGTGTGTTTTCACCAAGGATGAACAAAAGCCTGCATGCTGTTCTTGTAACAATCTATACCAGTGAGGGTGACCCACTGTCACCACTGTGAAGCACCCCACCACCACCTCACTGTACTCGCATCCACTTTCTGGTGTCCTTCAGTGTTCAGCAAGCATCGATGAATGTCAATGGACACATTTATTCCACATGGAGGAATTCAATGACACGCCTTTGCTTCATACTCTTCATACACTCTTCCACATCAGACACCATCCTGTCAGATTGCCCCTCTGCTGCCATCTGTCGTGCAGCAACAACATGAGAAGGTTCAACCTCTGCGGCCATATCACCAACACCCACCTCTGATGTTATGTGTCAACATCAATGAATAGGGGGCATTACTTTCAGAACAGCCCTCATACGCTACTCTTATGTCAAAGATCTAAGGGAAACGAACCTGCCTCTTTCGACTTCTAAGCATTAAAGTTATGGGAAAACTGTAAATTTGTCAAGTTTTTTGCATACTTAATAATTCATCCACATCTTCTGAGACGTTGATAGCCTTTTGTTTTTCTACCTCTTCTCATTTGTGAATGACAAACTACACTGAAATGAAAGAAAACAGAACCAGAAATGTTTCTAAACTTAATTAATGGAAATGTTTTTAAGTTTGAATCCGTAAAACACACTGGAATTTTTTACCAGATCTTATCAAGTATTGGAGGTTAGGCAAGACAGACCCCAGCTTCAGAGGAGAATTTGCTTAT